TTCCTTCCTTCCTTTGATCCTCACCCAGGAGGCGGGTGGTGGCTGGAAGCATTAGGTTCTGGGGAAACCACACTACGAAATGCTGTCTCTAACAGTCAGGTGGGCCCGAAGGCACAGAGAGGAGACACAGTCTCTTTATCCATGCTAATTAAGTGGTGCATCTGGAATCTTGGTTAAGCCTCTGCTCTGCCCCTCTGGCCTGCCCTGCTGAGGTCGAGCACAGCAAGGTGAGCATTACTGGAGCTCCCTGCAGACCACACCTTTGCCAAGCCCGTGCATCCTGGCTCTTCCTCCCCTACCTGCCAAATTCCACCAGGAGTTAAAGAAGCACTGCCCCCCCCATCCAATTCCTGCAAATCTACAAGGGATTCTCCTGGGGGATCACCTGTCTCTACTCACCTGCCTTATCTGGGTGTCATCTTACAGAAACTAAAATGAAACTTAGAAAACAAGTCACCTGATGCATTCATTGTGCAAAGAGCCTTAGGCCCTGGAAGCCAGCAGACGGTGCCCAGATATGGACACAGGTCCCATGTGAGGGCCAGGATTCCTCCTGTAGTGCCTGGGGCTGGTGAATTCTATGTGGAGAGAGTCTCACACGTCCACCTGCATCCTCTTGCATGGAAGGGGCCATGTCCTCACCACTCTGGAGAGCTCCAGCACTTCCACTTTCTATGACCCAGGTCTCACTGAGCAGCTGGCCACAGGGTCCCATTGTGATTTGGAGACCCAGCATCCTGTCCCTGCCAAACAGTACTTGGGAAAGTGACCCATTTACCAGTCACAGCTGTATTTACTCACGGGGACGACTTTATCATCTGCACGGTGAAATGCATGTGATTCTCTGTTTATACTTGTCTTGTGTATAAATTACTAGAATGTGTACAGAGCAACTGAAACCGAGTGCTGTCCCTGCCACCTCTGTTACAGCGTGGGGACGAGGAGTGTGGGAGGCAAGGCTGCCCGCACCTGGTTACTTGTGAGGGGCACGGAGGGGGCCAGCGTTCTATCCTGTGCTCACAGGAGGCCTGGCCAGGCTGCCCCCCTCAGATCTCAAGTCAGACCACTGGGGTGCAGATGCCAGTTCCCCACTTGATAGAAGTGTGGCCCTGGGCGAGTTAAATAAACTCCTTTCTTTAGCGTCCCCTTCTGTAAAATGGGTACAGAGACGGTGGGTCACAGAATAATGCGCCCACCACCAATGTCTGCTTTTTAATTCCAGAACCTGTGAATGTGTTAGGTTACGTGGCAAAGGGGCATTAAGGTTGCATGTTGAATTAAAGTTGCCAAACACCTCACCCTGAGATGGGAGAGCAGCCTGCCTTGCCCAGGTGAGTCCAACAGGTCACAAGGACTCCTAAAAGTGGAAGAGGGGAGGCAGAGGGTCAGGGTCAGAGAAGTTGAAGAGGCCACTCTGCTGGCCTCATAGGTAGAAGGAGGGACCAGAAGCCAAAGAAACCAGGCACCTTTAGAAGCCGGAAAAGGCCAAGACCCACCTTTAGAAGCCGGAAAAGGCCAAGACCCATTCTCCCCAGAGCCTCCAGAAAGAGCTCAGCTCTGCAGACACCAGTGAGGCTTCTGAGGGACTCCGGGAAGACAATGACTGTGGGTGTGAAGAGCCACCGTGTGACAATTTGTTACAGCCACAATTGGTATCCAGTACAGATGGCACCCACTCCTGGGGCTGTGATGTGGTTAGAGCAGACCAGAAGAGGGGACCGCACTCTGCCCGCCTCCCTCCAGCTCGTCCCCAGCTTCCCATCCTCCTCAGCCACTGGGAGGAGACAGAATGGGGACGCTGGGGTGTGTATCCCCATCTTCCCCCGCTGCGCCTCCTCTCCACCTGAGGAAGAGCCCAGCGGCACTGTGTCTAATGGCCCCGAGGCATCCCACAGCTGCGCCGGTCCTCCCAGTGAAGGGACGGGGTGCCCTGCTGTGGACAGAGCAGGCAGGGTGGCCAGGGCGAGGAAGACACAGTACATCAGCCAGACGGCCGGAGGCTTCCACCTGTCCCAGGACAGAGGACCTGGCTGCTGCAGGTAAACACAGCAAAAGAGCTGAGCCACTGACAGGTCTGAGGAATACTGAAGCTGGTGGAAAAATGAAAGTGAGTGTCCCCTAAATGGAAGAGTGTGAAACAGCCCAGAACTGCACGACACGTGGCAGACGGGTGGGGCGAGGCCTGGTCCCCTCCCTTCACTGGAGTTCACCAGGCGCATGCTCCCAACCGACGGCTCAGCTACCAGGGCCCTAAAACGTCTGGGTGCCCTGCAAGGTAATTAGGAAATGATTCAGGCCTTCGCTCGAATTCCTCAGCAATGCCAGCAGAATGAAAAAGCCAGCTCTTTCTCTGCCACATGGCGAGTGGCTTAGCTCTTTTGGCAGGTCTGTATCCTGTGCCCTGTAAAGACTTAATGCTATTAGCTACCACTTCCGTGCCTTTACCCCACTACACACACTTGCACCCCTAGGACCTAATAGTGTTAAGTGTGGCAGCCATTTCATACAATTAATTTATTTCATTTGCCTCTTGAAAAATAATGGGTATCAACTGGAATGCTTAATTGTTCCGTTTCACACTAGAAATAGGTATTGATGTATTCAAGTCTACAATGACTCACAGTCGAACTAAATGTGAAAAACAAAATTCTCCACCCGTGGCAATCTCCCTAGAGCTTGTTAGAATAATTAGCGATCGAATCCCTGGATGAGCCCCAGTGAATGACCAGACCCCAGACCGGGAAACGCCACTCGCTGCTGGTGTCTGGAGGTTACCAACTCTGCCCCTTGTTAATTAGCTCTCCAGGAACACCTCCTGTACTAATTGTTTTCCTGCAAAGCTCTCTGGGTGGATCTTAGGAAATTAGAAGTTATGTTCTTGAATATCATTCTACCCTGGCAACGGGAAGTTGAGAATTGAGGTCATTTGCATGTCCTTACGATTCAGGTTAAAAAACCCAAGCAAACCTAGTTTAAGAGAATCTCTCTCTTCTTAAGAGGAGGTAAGGTTAAAAATCATTTTGTAACTACATGTGATTTTGAAATCACATGTCTATCTAGGCAGAGTAGTTAGACACATCCAAATGCAGTTGACAGAGACGAGATTGGTTTAAGAGAATCTCTCTCTTCTTAAGAGGAGGTAAGGTTAAAAATCATTTTGTAACTACATGTGATTTTGAAGTCACATGTCTATCTAGGCAGAGTAGTTAGACACATCCAAATGCAGTTGACAGAGACGAGATACCATGACATGCTAAATCTAAATCGATCAGATATTTCTGGTTGTGTGTGTTCGACATACGGCTCAACTCTCTACCTTTTAAAGGATAAAATGAGATTCTTGTTAGTAGGTGATTCGGGTCCCTGTCCTCCACCCGCAGTCCTTCCAGGCCTTCATATAGCAGATGACCCAGGGGGATGTTTTAAAACAACTCCATGTTTCTCTTCAGACCTGGCCTAATTTGGTCCAAACAATAAAAACAGGAGAGCAACTGTGTGTAAACTTTTAAAAAGTTCATTTCTTTCTTGCTTCTGTCGATTTGGGGGGAAAAAATGAAGCAGCACCCAGTTACCTACCAGACTGCAAGCTAAAGAAAGGAGCAAGGAATCTGTCTGTTGTATTTGCCTTTTAGCAAGCAAATAAAATCACTGAGACAATAAACTGTACCTTAACATTTCTCAGGAGTTTAAGGTCTCATGGGCTTCCTAAATTGTGCACTATTATCTTGTCTGCGAGTAAAAACCTTGGGAGATTGTTTCCTATAATGACTTCTTTCCACATTCAGGATTCAAAATATCCCTTTAAAGAATGGATGCCACTTGATCAAAAAAGAAAACAAAATCGCCAAATCCAAACCTTACTTTCCCTGCATGCAAAAACATTTTCATAGGTTCAGTTAAATAGGCTCCCAGGCCATTTAGCTTTTCCCAACATCAGGTGACTCAAGGTCTCTGAAGAATGTTCTCATTATCTTAAATAAACATATCAAACCTGTCGTGTCTCGATGTTAAAAGACTAGCACCGGCTTTTCAAGAGCAATCATTGCCATGTCTCTTAGTGCTGTTACAAATGCCAAGAAAACTTTTATACTATCTATCTCTTAAAGTTCCAATCAAATGTCTCCGGATTTGACTCCAAGTGTGGGCAGATGACACCTTATGTCAGCCCTATACAACGTGGAATCAAAATATCACTACAAACACCATAAACACCCCACGAAAATAACAAAGACCCTCTTCCAATGGGTCAAGACCCCCTTTCCACTGGCCCGGCCTGGCAGACAAGCATCTCTGTATCTCCAGTTGGCAAAGAGCCCCTGCTCTCAAATGTCTGCAGCAAGTCAGGAGTAGGGCTTTCCCAACACCGCAGCTCATAACAAATGTATTAGGTCTAATCAGAAAGGATCCTTCTGAAAATGCTAGAAGATCTTCTCTGAGTCTCAGTGAGACAAGATTCACAAGGACATGGTGAGGGGTAAGCGCCTCTCTGCCAAGCTTGCCATTCCTCCGCAGCCGAGCGGCATGCCCTCCCCTCTGGTGCAGAGGTTCCTGCAGAAGGAAAGCATCCCTCCGTGTGCAACCATGTATTGATCTAGCCCGGGGGTCTAAAGTGAGTGTGCAAGGCAGAAGGAAGTACACTCCCATTTGTGTACATCTGGCCTCTCAAGTGGCCTTCATAAGACATTTGGAACAAAGATAAAATTCTGGATAATGGCGATGTTGGAAAGAAAATCCGAGTGGCTGATGGAATGAACTGCCTTCTCTGAATTAACAACCTTACATGATGTGAAAAGAAAGCCAGACTCGACTGCTTGGAAGGACCAAGGTTTCTAGGGAAAGTGCTATAAAAACTTAATTATTAAATCTTGCAATCGTGAACAAGATTCCTTAATAATCGATTTCCAGCATTACCAGGAAACATGTGCTTTCATTTCATGCTCATTAGAAATCTACAGCCTAAACCCTTTAAAATGGATGCAAACAGCCCAGGTCTTAGTTACTTGCTGAGGCCTCCAGCTTGCGTTTGTGGGGCGGGTCTTCAATGATCCTGTTGAGGTCTCCACGATTCTTCAGGTCCATCGGCTTCTCCCAGACGGAGAGTTGCATCGTGGGGTTGAAGAAGAAAACCCTGTCATCGCCCGTCCAGACCACACACCTGTTGAAAATTCACATCAGTCACTGTCAAATGCATTTAGTTAAAAAGTCGCCAGTATGCACCCTAATTCAAAAAGCCTTTCAGGGCTGAAATCCACATATTTGCAAAGGTTATTTATGTAGAGTATAAACAATAACAAGAAAGCCTGTCTTTTTAGGAAGCTGTACAGATCTTTCTCATATTTTATCACATTTGGTTAACAGATAGACATACTCATGACAGTCCTTTTACCAGTAAGGACACCCAAATTCAGAAAAGCCGGGCAGCATGAGGTCATACAAGGTCAGAGCTCTTCCTAGCACACCAGCTATCTCTGTTTAAATGCAATCCCAATTCAAAGCCTGAGCGCTCTGAGGCACCTCTGGCTCCGGACCAAGGGACACAGTAATTAGGGGAGCGGTCCCCTAAGCTTCCCCGCTGAGGCACTGCACGGGCAGGGCATTGAGGAGTACGGCAGCCCACAGATCGTTACTGTCCAGCAGCAGAAGCACAAAGCAGGCCGCCTTCACTAGCAGCTGCCGCACTGCTGTCCTGTTCATTCTTAGAAGGACAAAGAATTCGGTTTGTATTTTCACCTATGGGAATCTAAAATATCTGGAAGGAATAATTTGTAATTTAAAACCCCTTATAGTGGAAGATTATCAGAAAAGACTTTAAAAAATGAAGAAAATAAAACAGAGAAAGAAGGAAAAGTCCCTTCCTTAGGGAGGCGGCACAGTGAGTCTGCAACGTGGAAACATGCGGAGGAATTGGGTTCTAACATCAATGCATCCCAACGACCATGGCTGGTCATGCCAAAAAGGCTGGCCTCAGGCTTTGGGTTCTGTCCCCTTACTGTTCTTAGGACGCTGCAGAGAATGTACCCTGTACAGGGCTTCCCAGAAGGTTCCCCTTGGGCAAAATCCCCGCCAGGGCTCAATTTCCCGCTAACCTCTCAGGGTCCTTGTGGCTCTGTGATTTTGCTCAGGTTTCTCAGATGCCATGAGAATGGACAGAAACAGCCTGCATATCCACCTCCGGCTTTTGGTTTCCCTCTGAGGGGGACCCTTAGCCAATGGAGGGCAGTGACAGTCATTGTCTGGGACCCCAAAAGCCTGCTCACACCTTACCACACCTGGCCCCACGCTGGTGTATGCAGTAGGTGTGGACCCGTGACAGCATAGGCCACTCTGTTTTGCACAGGGAAAATCACTCCATGCTCAACCCAGCTAGCCACGTTCTAGGGGCCGGGCGGATGGCTCAGGTTCTGGGCCCCCGTGTGCTGTCAGCTCTGGGCAGACCAGGACCCTTCCCAGAGATGACCCAGAGAAGGTCTGTTGGATTTACTAGTACAGCACCCAGGTTCATGGGTGTGATAGACAGGATGATGGCCCCAAAGATGTCCACATCCTACTTAGAGAACCCGTGAATGTGTCCCCTTCCATGGCAAAAGGGACTGTGTAAATATGGTTAAGATCTTGAGAAAGGGGAGATCCTGGAATACGCAGGTGGGCCCTAAATGTAATCACAAGGGTCCTTATAAGAGGGAGGCAGGAGGGTCAGAGTCAGAGAAGGCTACATCCTACTTAGAGAACCCGTGAATGTGTCCCCTTCCATGGCAAAAGGGACTGTGCAAATATGGTTAAGATCTTGAGAAAGGGGAGATCCTGGAATACGCAGGTGGGTCCTAAATGTAATCACAAGGGTCCTTATAAGAGGGAGGCAGGAGGGTCAGAGTCAGAGAAGGCGACATGAGGATGGAAACAGAGGTCACACACATGCACACGCACATACGCACGCACACGCTCACACGGAGAGAGACAGAAAGGTGCCGCACCCCTGGCCTTGAAGGTGGAGGGAGGGGCCATGAGCTCAGGATACCTCCAGAAGCTGGAAAAGGCAAAGAAACGATTCTCCTGCACACACGCACGCACACGCTCACACGGAGAGAGACAGAAAGGTGCCGCACCCCTGGCCTTGAAGGTGAAGGGAGGGGCCATGAGCTCAGGATACCTCCAGAAGCTGGAAAAGGCAAAGAAACGATTCTCCCCTAGAACCTCCAGAAGGAGAACGCTGCTGACACAGTGATGTCAGCCCTGTGAGACCCACATCAGACTCCTGACCTCCTGAACTGGAAGAGGATCAATCTGTGTAGTTTGCAGCCAAACTAAGTGGTAGACTTAGCAATGAGCTGCACCTTGGCGCCTCTTGGTCCTGGGTGCCGGCATCCAATAAGCAGCAACCTCAACCCAAGCCCAAGGCCGGAGGCATTGGCCATGGCTGGCCCAGTCACCACCCGTGGAAGCAGACTTGGCCTGCCCTCTCAGCTCACATCTCCTCCAGCTCTGGGCCTGCCCTTGACCTTCCGGGTGACCTTGAGAAGGTTGCCTCACCCTCCCTGGTATCCTCATTCCATCTCTCCTGCAGGTGACACTGGATGGAGACTTGCTTTATTCTCACCGTCCGCCTCCCAAGGGGAGATGGACTCACAAGCAGAAGCACTGGCCACCCTGTTTGGCGCTGCCTGCATCAGAGGCAGATGGCTCAGGGAAGGCGGGCTCAGGGGTCCACAAGGCACTGCCCGGGCCTCTGCGGGGGGCTGGGAGACAAGGAGCAAGGCTGGTAAGATGAGACAGGAACCCCGGCCCAGGCAGGAGACGCCACAGCCCCCGGGGGTCTGGGGGAGGCAGCACGCCCTCACAGTCCAGAAACCAGCTGGCAGAAGGAGGACTCACTGGGTGTGAAGGTGAAGGTCATGACGCCAAGCTGCAAATTATGCACAACTCAGCTACTGCATGAACTCTCCAGACAGAGAGTGGGCTGGTGAGAGGAGCTCGGCCCCCTGCTCTCAGACACAGATCTGGTGACAGAGAGCTTCCCATGCGCGACTGCACAACTAGCCACATGCTGAGCTTCTTCTGAGCACCCCACAAGGTCTGTGCTCTGGGGACTGGTGGGAGGGGGGATGGATGGTTTTTCTGCCATGACAGTAGCTCCATTTCCAGTTCAGCTCTGTGAGGGCTGCAGCTCACGTCACCGTAGGAGGCCAGCGGCCCTGAGCCCTTCCTCCCATGTTGCTGGGCATCCAGTCCAGCTTGTCAGGAGTGGAAGCAAGCTCTGGCCCCAGCACCACGCACAGCTTCAGGAGCCTTCTCCACCTGGGCTGCAGCTGGAACAACAGCTCTAAGCCAGAAGGCCCAACAGCCAGCAGGGTCCACTTGTAACAGTCTTGCTCAGATTGTTGTGGTTGTTGTTTTCACATCTGACTGTATTTCAGTGGAAAATTCTGGAAGAAACCCTGGCTCCCTGCATCCCTGTGTAGCCGCTTAAGACTTTACAGCTGTTGTGTGGACCCATAAGTTCTCCCCAGGAGTCCTGATCTCACCTCGAGAATAAAGAACACCTTTCTGTGGTCCAGGTATAGCAGATAGAACCGAGGGGTGCCACTGTCCCCAGCTGTGGGCCGTCCTGCCACCAGGGTCCCCCACCCACCAGCGATGTGCTCCCTCCTCTAGAATCACTGAGGGAGGGAACTCTGCTAGGAATCACGGGCTGGGGCCACCTTCCTGTGTGGGCTGTGCTTGTCTGTCCCTTTGCAATATTTTAGTGCACAGATTCCCCACCAGTGAGTGTCCTCATTTACAAAAGAAGGTTGGCAGACTAATACCCACCCATCTAAATTCTAGCTTCTCTGTTCTTTCCTCTTTATTTTGCAGTTTGGTGGCAGGACCCTGGTCATGGCCACAGTTGGTGCCCCCTTCCTGAAGATCAACTTTACCAGGCAGGTGCACCAACCCCCTGCCCCGCATCAGATGCCCCTGCCCGTCCAATGCAGTGTAGGAAGAGTTGACCAAGGCTCTGGTGCAACTGACGGTCCAGAGCACCCTTGGCATGGCTGGAACTCCAGCTGAGACCACACCCTCACTGTATCAGTTTGTTTCTCTTGCTGATAACACAATGCCTAGAACTGGGTAATTTTACAAAGAAACAAAATTTATTTCTTACAGCTTTGGAGGCTGGAAAGTTCAAAGTCCTAGGGGTCCCTCTGGTGAGAGCGTTCTTGGTGATGACTCTACAGCAGCACAGGGTGTCACAAGGCAAGGATGGGCTGAGAAAGGGAGAGCTAACCTTCTCACTCGCTCTCCTTACAAAGCCATCAGACACGCCTATTACTCCGCGAATGGATCAGTCCCTTCACCAGGGCACAGTTCTAAGCTTCTAGTCACCTCTTCAAGGCCCCACCTTGCGAATACCATACTTGTATTTCCAACCTTCTTAACACTGTTACAGTGGGGCCAAGTTTCCATCACACCATTTGGGCGATACCTTCGGCCCATAGAACTTGCTCCACCCCACACTGCCCCACTCTCCTCCTCTGTCCTCAGAGTCACTTCAGCAGCTCACCGGTGCCCCAGGAGCTGCTTTGTAGGAAGAGTTGACCAAGGCTCTGGTGCAACTGACGGTCCAGAGCACCCTTGGCATGGTTGGAACTCCAGCTGATACCACACCCTCACTGTATCAGTTTGTTTCTCTTGCTGATAACACAATGCCTAGAACTGGGTAATTTTACAAAGAAACAAAATTTATTTCTTACAGCTTTGGAGGCTGGAAAGTTCAAAGTCCTAGGGGTCCCTCTGGTGAGAGCGTTCTTAGTGATGACTCTACAGCAGCACAGGGTGTCACAAGGCAAGGATGGGCTGAGAAAGGGAGAGCTAACCTTCTCACTCGCTCTCCTTACAAAGCCATCAGACACGCCTATTACTCCGCGAATGGATCAGTCCCTTCACCAGGGCACAGTTCTAAGCTTCTAGTCACCTCTTCAAGGCCCCACCTTGCGAATACCATACTTGTATTTCCAACCTTCTTAACACTGTTACAGTGGGGCCAAGTTTCCATCACACCATTTGGGCAATACATTCGGCCCATAGAACTTGCTCCACCCCACACTGCTCCACTCTCCTCCTCTGTCCTCAGAGTCACTTCAGCAGCTCACCGGTGCCCCAGGAGCTGCTTCT